CGGACAGCTGGGGGGGGGGGCGGGCGGGAGGGGGAGAGAAATATAACTGAGCATTAAAAGATGTGACTTGTTTTCACCTCTCGCTCACTTGGGTGTCACAGGAGGGCCTCGTGTTTCTTCCGGGAGGCCAAATCCTTGGTTTAATTAAGGCTGAGTGGCTGGACAGCCTGGATCCTTTGATTAGGGCCAGCCCAGAAACCCAAAAGTTTGCATCGGGGATTTGCATTCACCCTTGATCTTCTGGGGGGGTGCTGAAAGGAAAGAGGAACCACTGGACTGTTTTTCAGGCCAGGTCAGACCCCGCTTGGTGTCCTTGGTTTGGTTCAACAGATTGTGAGCATCCTCTTCGCAAAGGAGGCGTCCGGTTGAGCTGGCAGTCCACGGTTGCACAAACGCCATCTTGACATTTTTGACACTCCCCGAAGACACCCCTGCTTAGCGTATTCTGGGAACCAGCCCACGAGGTCAAGCTGAAAGATGGTTTGGGGCTGAATGGGTCATGTAGCCAAGCTTTTTTTTAAAACTGAGTTCCTCTAACCCTTTGCATAAATCCTGGTTAATTTTGCCAGGGTTTGCTCAGTCCAATTTCCAGGGTTTGCAGGACCTTCCAACTTACAGGTCTAGATCGGGACCCGCAGCTGAAAATCCGGCTCGCCTATTTATGCCTTGATGACAGCATTGACACGATGTGCCAAACCCGCTTCCTGAACTGACCCCCGGGCTAACCAGAGATCCTGGGTTCATTCCACAGGCTAACCAGCCCCCAGGCGAACCGAGCTCTGCCTGCTGTGCAAACACAGCTTGGGCCTGACCTGGTTAAGGCATTGTATGGACATAGTGATGTTTTGAGCAATGCAGGAAGGGGTTAGTGGAGCTGGTAATTAAGGAATAGCAAGGATTCCTTTGGGGCATTGTTCCTCAACCTTGGCCACTTGAAGATGGGTGGACTTCAACTCCCAGAATTCCCCAGCCAGGAGAAATTCTGGGAGTTGAAGTCCACCCATCTTCAAGCGGCCAAGGTTGAGAAACACTGCTCTGGGGGAACCTCGTTTGAAGGACCGATTATGCAACCCCGGGAGAGCCAGCCGCAGCCGGCAGAGGGCAGCGTGGTGCCATCCCCAAGGGGTCTGGGGAACCAGCTTCTGGTTTCCGGAATGCAGCAGCAGAGACACCCAGCCACCCCCACCTCCTCCTCCTCCATGCAATCGTTCAGCCCTTTCCTGTCAGCGCAGGTTTAGGAAGGAACCCAGCCAGCCCGCTGAAGCTTTGCCACTTTCTCCTCGGGAGACGGGGAGTTGACCCTGCAGCGTGCCCAGCTCACATCCTCCAAGCAAGCCTGGCAGGCCTTGCTCCCATGGCCCCCCGCTTGCCTCGGGAGGGGAGGGGTGGGGTGGCCCGGCTTCCGTTCTCCTGGGTCCACCTTGGCGGCTCCCCAGCCTGCAACCGCACAGGCGTCGGGCCCTGGTCTGTGTTCCAGCAGACCATCCCCACCTTCGCAGGCTTTGGGTTTGCAAAAGGACGGGTGCTGGGGCTGAAGCCAGCAGGGGACCCTGGTCTTGTGAACGTAGCCCTGTGGCTCCTGTTCATCCTCTCGTTCCTTGAAATGCTACGTCTCATCTTGCCTCCCCCCCCCTTTTTTTCCTTTTCTTTTCTCCCCTTGGCTGTCTTCCTCCCACTCGCTCTCCTTAAGAGAAAGGAGCATCGGTCTCTGTGGCAACCTGGCGTATTAGAGGAGTTGCCGGGCGAGGCCAGTAAAGCTGCAGAACGAAAAGAAGAACACGGCCAGTTCCTTTAGCCAGCTGGGCCTGGGTTGAGCAGCAGGGAGGGGGAGAGGCGCCGTCACTGTCTGCCCCTTGCCGAGGCACGGGCAGAAAAAGGGGCATTCTGTGTCCGCTTCTGCTGGCTCCGTTGCCAAACCCCTCTCCAACAAGCCACTTGGGGAAGGGCCTCTCTCCTTTTCACCTGTGAGCTTTAATGCAGCCCTTTCCTCATTTTTTCATAAGGACTAGAATCTTGGCTTTTTGCAACACGAGAGGTGGAACGCCCACTGCAATGCCCGAACTCTGAATCTGGGCCGGCACAGAGCAGTTGGGCGGTTGCAGGGGCGGGTGGGGGGTTTGGCTGCGGCAAAAGAGGTTTCTGAAGGAGCTGCAGACCCTGCGCAGGTGAAGCAGCCTGGGTGGAATCGGAGGGAAGAAAGCCAGCATTATCCTGGGGGATTTGAAACCAGAACGGTGAGCTGGGCTTGGAGGCTGTAAAGAAGGGGAGGAAAAGGAAGAGATTTGATCCCCTATGTCAGTTTCCCTTGATTTTAAAAGGCAGAGAGAGAAGATACTGGAATGTCATCCAGATAAGAACTGGAAGATGCATCCGTGACCGGGTTTTATTTATCTAAACTTGCTGTTACAAGAGGAGGCTGTGTTCCTTCCAAATGTACAGTTCCAAACTTTAACAGGGACTGACTGCCGTTGCACGGGTACAGCAGCTCGTGTTTGCCCGACACGCTGAATCGCAAAGTAGCCAACTTTCACCCGAGTTCCGTGAAAGCCCGGCCCTTGCGATTAGCTCGTGCCTCGGTGGCTTGCGCGAACCCAGAAAGTTGGGCTAATTGAGTAGACCACGGTTCAGTTCACCACAGGCCATCACAGCTGATTTCCCCGCCCTGAAGGCCTGGCTTGGATCCATGTCTGGGCGACGCACAGCCTCCTGCGCTCGCAGATTAATCTCAGTTTGGATCCCGTTCAGCTCGTCGCTGCAACCGGCTCTCCTTTTCAGAGCACAGCCTTGCTGCGGAGGGGACTGAAAACGGCCAGGGGAGCGTAAAGGCCCGCTCTGAGCGGCTGCGGGGGGCGCGGAAAAGGGAATCCCAAGGGGGAGGAGGAGACGCCGCTACATTCATCAGGCCGTGTCCACAGACCCAAACTCGCTGCGTTCTGCTTCTGCTGGCGTTTCTAGCCCAAACCGCCGGAGTCTCGGCGAGG